TAGATATGGCCTTGTAAGTGAAGCCAAGAAGTTGTTTGATCGTGCTTCAAAAAAAAGTGTCTTGGTTTATAATGCTATGTTGGCCGGTTATGCTGAAATGGGATATGTTGAGGATTCTTACGAGTTATTTGTTATAATGCCTCAACGTGATGTGGCTTCTTGGACTAGTATGATAAAGTGTTTTTCAAATGGAGGGCAGGTGGAGAGAGCTAGGAGCTTGTTTCAGGAGATGCCGGAAAAGGATGTGGTGGCTTGGACAACAATGATGCGGGCTTATTTGCAGAATGGTCGTATTGCAGATGCTAGGGAATTATTTAATGAGATGCCTCATAAAGACATTGTTGCATGGAACTCAATGATTGATGGTTGTATTCAGAATGGAAGGGTTGAAGATGCTCTTGAATTGTTCATGCAGATGCCAAGGAGGGATACAGTGTCATGGAATTCAGTATTGCAGGGATATGTGCAACAAGATGACATGATTAATGCTTGCAAATTTTTTGAAGCAATGCCCCAAAAAGATGAAACCTCATGGAACATAATGATTGCTGGATATCAAAGTGAGAAAGCTTTAGTTTTATATGTCCACATGTGGCAAAGTGGATTTAAGCCTGATCAAGGGACCTTTACTAGTGTAATCTCGGTATGTGGTGTGCTTTCTGTACATGGTTGGGGAAGAGCAGTGCATCTCCATGTCATTAAGATTGGTTATGAAAATGATACAATGGTAATGAGTTCATTAGTATCTATGTATTCTAGATGTGGCTTCTTGAAATATGCTGCTGCTGCATTTGAAAGGATAACTGATCGTGATATAGTTGCTTGGAATGCCATGATTGTGGCACAGGCATACCATGGTTCTGCTGTAGACACCCTCAATCTCTTCTCTTCTATGATTCGAGGTGGATTAGAACCTGACCATGTAACTTTTCTGGGACTCTTGACTGCCTGTGCTCATTCAGGACTAGTCGATGAGAGCTGGAAACACTTCAACTCTATGAAGATGAACTGGAATTTGACACCAAAACCAGAGCATTATGCCTGCATAGTTGATCTACTTGGTAGATCAGGATTGCTGGCTGAAGCCTTTGAGTTAGTTAAACAATTACCAGTGGATCTCCCAGCACATGCTTGGGAATCATTACTTAGTTCTTGTAGAGTCCATGAAAATTTTGAGCTAGGTGAATTTGTAGCACTAAAACTTCTAAGTGTTCAACCTTGTAATGTTGGGATGTATGTACTCCTATCAAATATATATGCTTCGAGAGGTTTGTGGAAGGAAGCAGCACATATTAGAGCAGTATTGAAGCAACTTCAATTGAAGAAAGAGTTGGCATGTAGTTGGATTGAGATGAATGGTCAGATCTGTCAGTTTTTTTGCAGTGACAAGTCTCATCCCCGAACAGAGGACATATACAAAGAATTAGTTAGCCTCAATGTAATCATGGATGAAATAGGCTCAATGATGCATTAATGAGGCAATATATTTTTTTTTTCTATCTACATGTATAGTTTTTTATCCGTATGTTACTTCTTTATATGAATCATACTTGAGAGATGGTATAAGATTTGTTTCATATTTTGTTAGCATAACTTTGGCAATCTGGTCCGGGGATTAGTTTGTGAATACAATACTGGATCTCATCGAATGGTGTGGATTTCAATGAGGTTTTGTGTACAAGAGGTGGATCTTTTGTACATCCTTCTTAAGAAGGTAGATTATTGGTGGCTTTAGATGTGACTTCAAGGGTCCATTCCTTAGCTATTAGAATTTCATCTTTTGAAGCGAGGTTGTATGGTACATAGATGAAGTCAAAGTGTTGGCAGGAAGGAGTTTCCTATTATAAGAAAAATATATGCAAAACGGTAAGTTTCCAGTGGCTTGAAAGAGGAGGGAAGGTCGGGATGTTGAGGTGATGTCTACAAGTGAGAGTAGAAGATGCTTGATGATGATTAAAGGTTTGCATTTATATATAGACATGATGATGATTAGACGAAATTTTCTGAACCATATAATGTCATTTGAACTTCAGACTTGACAGAATATTAACAATTTTATTTTTCTGGTTCTTTGTAAAATGTCACATCTCATATATGTCTGGTTCCTTCAGTATTGTGGGTGCAAGTTCTTTTTCTCTTTTTGCAAGCAGGATGCATGGCAGCATCATAGATGCACTTGGTTACAACTACATAAAACATCGTAACATTATAGTTGAACCATCACATACAGCAGAAAACAAAGTAAATTTTTTTTTACCTCATAAGCACAACCCTCTTTGGGCCAAATTCCTAATGACACATGGAAGACTGACAAAGCAAATACGAGCAACTAGTTACGATATACAAACCTAGAGTGCATGCTTCTTGTGAAACTATAGAAAAACCAGTCAACCTTTGTTTTGTAGCTAAGAATGGGAAGAAAGAATTAGAATGTGCCGAATATGAAGACATATTCCTCTGATACATGCCCCAACAAGTTATGTTGCTGCTGCCTATGAATGCTGGCATTTTTGCTTGCAATTCAGGGCTAGAACCATAGGTTAAATGTTCTTTCTAACTTTTGTAATTGTTTGATTCAACAGCCCATTCAGAGGTATCCTCAAGCAATAATTGCCAGTGATTATTTCCCTCTACTATTTTCATGAGAATTTGTAAGATGCTATCTAGACAAGCTTTAGGTATACCCTTTGTATACATTATTGAACATAACTTCCTGCTATGTTTAATTTACATTTCATACCCGCCCAATTCACTTGCATTTGTACAGGATCTCCACATGAGAACCAAAGCATATGGGCAACTTGATGTCATGTCGTTGCAGCTAGAGTCACTGGCCTTTTCGGCTTATTTTCCTGTAAGCTTTTTCTGTTCTTCATACTACATCTTCCTTTGATACAAATAATTCGAATCTCTCATGGACCAAAGAAAGAAAAAAATGGTGCTAACTTAAATTATTTAGTTTGCGTGTGTGTAAAAGTTCTTCTTTGCAGTTCTGAGCCTTCTTACTGATATTTGTAGAATTTTGAAGCATGAAATGGAAGATTTCATTGGTAGTTCAAAATTTTGTGCTCCTACATGTGAAAACTGACCATAGTAAAGGTAAATTTCGGAAGTAATCAAAGCCTTTAATGCTGCTATAATGCTTTCTTAGGCTTCAGAATTAAGTTTAGCATATTACAGGTAAGATAACTCTAACTTGAATCATCCTCACATTACTTATGGAAGAACTAAATGTAATAAAATATTATCTTGGTAAAGTAGTATATGCTAGGGAAAGAAACAGAAAAATGGTATAGTTGTCAACCTTCTGGGTACTGCATTCAAACCCGTATACTTCCTTCGTTATTGTCTAAGAATATATAGAATGGATTTAGTTGTTATCTAATTACCCTTTACCCCTTCTGTGNAGTATATGCTAGGGAAAGAAACAGAAAAATGGTATAGTTGTCAACCTTCTGGGTACTGCATTCAAACTCGTATACTTCCTTCGTTATTGTCTAAGAATATATAGAATGGATTTAGTTGTTATCTAATTACCCTTTACCCCTTCTGTAGTAAGTATCTTCACATGGCAAACTCCACACTTCAGCTCTTTCTCTTTGAGCTTCACTTTACAATAGTCCACCTTGGTCTCTGCAAAGAAGAACAAGACAAATGTTACTTTGGAACAAAATTAAAGCTTGATATGACAGCAAAAAAGCAGTTGATTCTCTCTTCTAATCTCTTCTCTATCCATTCCCCANGCTCTTTCTCTTTGAGCTTCACTTTACAATAGTCCACCTTGGTCTCTGCAAAGAAGAACAAGACAAATGTTACTTTGGAACAAAATAAAAGCTTGATATGACAGCAAAAAAGCAGTTGATTCTCTCTTCTAATCTCTTCTCTATCCATTCCCCGTTTTCCTGTGTCTTTCTACATCAACTTTCGGAGGTATCTCTTTCTCTCTCCTGTAATGAGGATGAGATATCATGGGAACTGTGTGCACACTTCTACTTTTAGTAAAGCCAAATAAATCCTTATTCAATAAGTGAACCTGCACAAAGGTGCCCAAGATTTGAGGGTAGAGTGACATATAGTATGGCTTGGTCCAAACTCTAAAAGTCTGATAGTCATGCAGAGCTCTAAGAATTTAAAGCTTCTATGTGTGTGAATCTTGTGGGGCAAAAAAATAAAAAGTTGCAATGGACTTTAGTTGGTTGTACCTTCAGAGGGGTAAGAGAGAATTATTGATAAGTAGTGAAAGGTGGAGTTGTTAGAGAGGTGGAATAAATCAGTAAAGGTTGCAGTGGCTGGTAGATGTTTGGATTGGGTGGTCCCCAAGAAATTAGCACTTGTCTTATTAAAATCCAAAAGAAACTTTATAGCTTTGCATGTTCTTGATTCTTTCCATGTTACCTCAACTCTTTGTTATTTCTGATTTTGTGAATCCTCATGTTATGTGTTTGACAGTTGCCCTTTTCTTCCTAGAAAGCCTGTACTTTCTACAAATTTCCCATTGTTTAAATTGCCAAATCAAGCATTAGGGACACTCAAAATTTCACTTCATTTATTGTCATTTGCGATTTTTTCTAATATGATTTGCCTTGTTTTCGCCTTGTTTTTTTTTTTTTTTCGTTTTATTAGCATCGACAATCAATTGACAAGTCAAGAAATGCATTATGTCTGTATTCCAGATGGAACGAAGGGAATTCTTGTTACAGGTGATGGCAGTGCTGCTTTATATTTAGCTTATTCATATATATTTTGGCTATATATTTGTGGAACCTGAAAGTTTGCTAGATATTAGGTATCTTACACATCAAATAAGAGTGAAGCTGGATATTGAAGTTTCGACTCAAATCCAGTCATATAGTTTAAGGCAGAGTTGTATTACTAGGCTACTCTGGTCCTTTATTATACTATCTTCTCACAAAGAGCAAATAACTTCTCCCTTTTGGCATCTTGACCTGTTGCTAGCTTTTGGTTCACAAACTTCAATGGTCTATATCTATTATTTACACCAACTTGACTCACCTTTGCAGTCGAGTTTTTTTTTTTTTTTGGGACTTACGTGCATGAAAGGGCTTCTGATACTTTGTAAATAAATAATACTTAATTTAATTAGGGATGGTCTTGGCTCATGAAGACTTGGTTGAAGGACATTTTTGGAGTCTTGAGTATGATTTAATTATAAAATACTAATAGTCTATCTGACCAACCTTCCACGTTTTGGCAAAAGTAATGGATTATGAATCAAAGCAAAAGCTAAAATCAATTACAAGGTTTGGTGTTTCTATTGCTTCCTCCATTCAACATGCTAGATACTGTTAGTGCCTTGGTGTTTACTTCAGAAAGAGGGAATATAAATGAAAAAGTGGAGTGGTTGGGGAATTAGGGAATAAATTAGTGAAGTTGGGAGTGGTTGGAGAGAGGTTTGCATTGAGCAGTTGAGGAGAAAGGAGCCCTTTTTACTTGGCTTATTAAGACCTTTTTGGTATCTTCATGATTCTTCTCATTTGACCTCCGTTTTTTATTGTAGAATTTTTCTCAGGTGATGCTTAACTAAATTGTCTTGTTTTATTTTGTGATAGGGAGCCAACCCATCATTCTTTGTGGGGGCTTCACTTTGCATTTAAAATGCTGAGACTTTAATAGCTGTGTAGACTATCAATTGATAGATAAGTACCTTCCATAAGTGCTAGAAAACAATGACATTTAAAATTTACAATTCCCTGCATCTTACTTTCATATTAGAGATCCTATGTAGAGCAATGGAAAGTGCTCACCTGTCCAAGTGTAAGTGTTACTTCGCGGCTCGCTTTTGGGGAATGAAGCTCTTCAAAAATGAGAAATTGGTTTTGGTTTTTTTGGGTTTTTTTTTTTTGAGGTGGGGATTGTACACTAAAATGGGCTACGTGTTAAGAATAGAAGAAGAGAGTAATTGGCGATATCAAGAATTTGATGTGCTCACATTTGTGCAGGGATAAAGTTGCATATGTCTAACTCTCCTAAGACCCTATAACGAAAGGAGTCTCGCGCGCTAGACTGTCTTTATTTTTTTAATATTTTGTAACCTTATGAGAGTTAGACATATGCAACTTTATCCCTGTTGTAACCTTATGGAGCCAACATTTGAAAACTTTGACTTCATTTATTTTCATCTTTAGATTTGTTATTCTGTAGCCCACTGTTGGTTCTGCACATGGTGTGGAACAAGCTCTTACTGTGTCTGTGAATGAGGACAGTGTTGCTCTCTGCTTTGCTGGTCCATAAAAAGGTCTGGACTCTTTCTTTTGATCTTTTTGGAAGTTATTATGATCTCTGTGGATTGTGCATGTTTCTTGGTGCACTCTTCCATCGACAAACTACACTTGCATCTCTACTTGCTAAAATAATAGCAGCCTGACAATAAAAATGATGTGCCCTGTATCAGTTTGTTTAAGTTTGTTGGTAAAATAGCTCATATTACAAGAACTGAAGGGTATGGTTACAATGAAAGTCTACATACCATGTGTTTTTTAGGTTTATGGTTGCAACTCAAGTCTTGGATGCACGCATTCACCCGCAAACCATTTGTACAGGTTAAACATCATTTTATGTGCCAAGAATTCTCGAATTCAAAAGTTTGATTTTATTCCGAGTAATTTTATTGGAATCTAAAAAATTGATCTAATTTATTGACATAATGATGTGATAAATAATAAAGTCATAATGAAGAAGTCTAACCGTTCTAGTCACCAATACTATTGGACTATGTCATTGTCAAATTAACGGGGGAGATCTCTGGTCTGTCCTTAGCGAGATAGTGGTGACTTAGTCTCTCAGGCGCGTGAGTCTGAGTAGAACCAATGGCAAACCCCGTGTGTATGAACATGTCCCTCAACTTATATACCAGTTAAATTAGGACTTGTGCTTCGGTAGAAATTCAAACCCACAGTAGAAACTTGGATACAGTTCGTCCAAACAACTAAGGTCCACCCTACTAACTAATCACGTTTTTTGTTGCTCAATGGACTTGAACTCTTGACTTTGTAAAAGTTAAGCCTTCAAAATACAAGAATATGGTCAAGACCTGAAAAGTTACATTGCCTTTGGTGTGTGAATCATATGATTCATAGCAGAGAAGGTCTCACAGTACTTAGTTGGTGGTTGCTTTGAAGAGATGGACTGGATAATAAAGATGAAAAGGTGGGAGTGGTTTGAGGAAAGAGAATAAATTAGGTAAAAGTTTGGACTGGTTGGAGAAAGGTTTGCATTAAGTGAGTCACAAGAAATGAGCCTTTTTCCCTTGGCTTCTTTACTGCATTCAAAGTGTTCTTCTTGGCACCTTCTTGATTCTTCCCTTATGACTTCATCTACTTCTTACAATTGGGAAAGAGAAATGTCATCCATTTTTTATTAGATTTGCTCTCATAGGTTTCATGGGGGTGATGGTACTGCGCTAAGTTAATTACATTGTGATATAAGTATTACAGGGCGAGAAATAGAACAACTTCTCGATCATTAAGATGAGTTCACATTATCTTTGGCCCAAANGCTAAGTTAATTACATTGTGATATAAGTATTACAGGGCGAGAAATAGAACAACTTCTTGATCATTAAGATGAGTTCACATTATCTTTGGCCCAAAACACACACACACACACACACACAAGAGAACGAGAAACTTTTCCAATCTTACAACGAACGTTGATTGTTCCAATTAGTAATTGCTGTTTTTTCCCATTCCTTCCCCCCCCCTCCCCTGGGGAATAACCATCACGTTGTGCCCATCGATAACGTTGGGCTTATCAGACTAGGAGCAATCTGAGTATCAAAGATGATAGGTGAATGCCATATCTACTCCAACATGCTATTAAATTCATTGATTTTTGACTTGACCTGTTAACATTAAATACTGAACCGGTTCCTTTTTTTTTTTTAAATATAAATTGAGAATTAGGGGAAAAAGTGTGTACAAGAGATATAATCGAGCACAAAAGCCCGAGACATGCCCAAAGGTCTTGCATGCTAATTCTCAACCTAGCAAGTCTATAATTCGAACTGATATGTGCAACTGCAGCAATACATGCAACCCACACCATAACGCATGTGGAATAAATAATTAGTCTAGGTGCAAAATGAAATGATCTCAGAAGTTGGAGTCAATCACTTATGGGGGTGTTTGGCAAAGCTTTGAGGGATAGGATTGGTTTGGATTCAAACCGATGAAAACCCAATAACTAGGATATCAATGAAGTGGTGTAATCATGTCCCTAATTTGGAAAAAATTCTCTTATATTATGGGATTATTTTTTTTTGTGTCAAATCTCTCTACTTTCATATGAATTTACAATTTTACCCTTTAATTCTATCCAAGCCAAAGTCAATGTTGGCTATAAAATTTTATTCATGTTATTCACTTTTATATTTCATAAAAAATGTAACAGCCGTGTCACCAAGAGGAAATACCGAAAATAATTCGATTTTCATTTTTCCAAAAGTACACAAGTGCGAGCACATTAATTTCCTCATAACATTGTTCCACATTGTTTTGAAAAAAAAATTAAGAACAACGAAATAAACGATTTTATGTTACATAAACATATTTTACATTACATAAATACACGTATCAATATAATCAAATCACAAGTTGCCTTGAAGTATACGTACAAAACGAAGGCAACCATACATGGAACATATTACATTGAAGCTACATGTACACACACTATTGTGTTTCAAAATTCAAAAGCCGGGCATGGTGCAAGACAGTATTGTGAAGCAAAAACATCTTCCTACAATTAATAACATGCAACTATGTGTTAATGAGAACATACAGGGGTGTGTGTGTGTGTGTGTGTGTGTGTGTGTGTGTTGTGTCTATATGTAGTTGTAGTGATAATGAGAACACACAAATAGACCATGGACTGAGCAATTATACTGAATCACATGATGTGAAGATTTGCATAATGCTGGGAGTTACCAAATGGGTATCTAAAATTTACCGCAAAACACTAAAAAATTGGGATTTTGTTTTACTCACTTGTTTCCCTTAATCTTGAACCAAGTATCAGCATAATGCGTATGAGTTGCTGATAAGTCATCCTTACAAGAACAACACAATTCAATGGCAATCCCAGACTCAGGACCAGTACTCTCCAAACTCAGATGACAGATTTGACAATCTCTCTCTGATTTCCCCAAATGCACTTTAATTTCACCCACCTCATTTTCGACATCCATCGAACAATCAGATTCGGCCANGTCATCCTTACAAGAACAACACAATTCAATGGCAATCTCAGACTCAGGACCAGTACTCTCCAAACTCAGATGACAGATTCGACAATCACTCTCTGATTTCCGCAATTGCACTTTGATTTCACCCACCTCATTTTCGACATCCACCGAACAATCGGCCACCGATGAAACCTTCCTAGATTCACCAATCTCAAAATCAGAGGCACAAGCAAAACTATAGTCATCATAAGAGCCATCAGCGGTGGAATAGAACTGAGAATAAATATCCATTTTATTGAGATCAAAATTGATCCGTTTAGCATTTTCTTTCTTTGTCATTACATACAAATAAACTTCACTGAAACATGAATACGAGAAGAAACTAATTCAGATATATCGATAAAATAGAGGATTTTACAGACCATAGAAATTTTTTGCTAAAATATTGCAGACTAATGCAGAAAATAAGAACAAAATAGCCCCACATTCAAGAAGAATAGCTGGTACTGTTAACAATGACCCAACCCAACAACAAAAAAACCCCATACTCATCTTTCCTCTCACCTAATGGTGCTTAGACTACCTTCGCAGAACAAAAACAGCCACAATCATTGATTTGTGAACAAACCCATCAACGAGTAAGAGGGTTTCTAAGAATCTTGAATGCAAAAACAGCACAAATAATCTAGAAAACCATCAGAAACTCAGTGCACATGCATGCTGCGTTAGACCTCCGGCCACCTATGATTTTCCCGATCGGATAAAATGGCAGAACCACCAGTGGTGCGAAGAAGTCACCACCATTGACAGTGTAATCAAGAATGGCGCCAATACCGTGGACCTCCATGGCTGAGTTTAGGTAGATATTTGGGTGAGCGATGATAGAATCGTCAACGGTGAGGGCAGATAGATCGCCATGGCTGAGTTTAGGAGAAAGAGGGGGCGAGAGATACAGAGAGAGAGGAAACATACCTTTGCCCTTGCCAATGGAGGAGTCTGAGCCGTTCTGGGGGATGATTTTAGGGATGTAATGGTAAAATCTTCCCACAATCCGGTCAGCATTTGCATAAGCCCCAAGTTTTGGTGGGATTTGTGTATCCCTTGAGAAGGGATAAAGGAGCTCAAATACTACGGCCGAGTTTTTCAAAGGCAACGATTGTCAAACCTTAAATTTCCTTGCCAAATCAAGGATAAATGGGTTTCACCTTATTTTTATCCAATCCAAATGGTGTAATCCGGGTTTATCCACCATACCAAACACCCCTGTATAATGGAAACATAATCAAAAGGTAAAGGCCACATCCTTATCATCTTGTAATTCAAAAGAAAGTGTTGAAAAAAAATATAAAGAAATCAGTACACAATCGCACAAAATGACAACTTTATTTTCCTTCAAGAAACCAAGAAGCTTCACACAATAATACAAGTAACATACCGTATAGGAATACATGAAAAGATGCACAGCAAGTAAATTGCCTTGGACACTTTTCGGTTGGTCACGAGCTTCCATAGTAGTAAGGGTCCCCATTTTTTATTTTCGCAACCAACACTGGAGATTTAGAAGCCTATATGATGTCAAGTGCAACTCGTCGCGACTCGAACCATTTCCATGAAACTGTTACCTCTTAACTGGCCTGGCCAATATGAGGTGCTGCAAGGAATGCATTAGTCACAGACTTAACTTTTCACATTAATTATTTACATGGTAACAACTCATATACATTCATATTGAGATTGTTAAGCTATATTGTAATTTATTTTTTTCAAAATGAAATTATTCAGTTATCGAGAAAAAACATTGAACATGGCATGACAAACAGCCAATATTTAAGAATGGACTAATTATTATGGAATGAATATATTCTGCCTTTTCAGCTGAATAATTCTTTTAAGGTTTTGATTTCAAAATTGTGATTCACTCATTTAGTTAAAGAAAAAGAACAAGGAAACCAAAAAATATATATTTCTCCCTCATTTTTTTGGAACCCAGGATAATTTTAGAGTCTCATGGGGGAAAAAAAAGTATATGATATGTCAAAACAAATAAATGTTGGCAACACATACCTCAGACGCTGCAGTTTGTGTTGGCTAGTTTCTTCTACCTTTGTGTCTATGAGCATGCTTCCTTGCCCTCCTCCCATTTTTGTTTCCTTGACTTTCAACCAGCCTTACAATCCACTTAGGCCTTCCAGTTGAGAACATAATATATCCCATAGAAAGCCCAAGTACCAATCCACATCCATACCCCATGAACGTCACTTTCCACACGAATCCAGTTGGAGACTCTGAAGAATCATCTTGTTGCAGTACCCATTGTGGTGGTGCTCTAGAGTGGCCACATGACTTCGGCAATGGCAATCCACATAGTCCAGAGTTGCCCTCATACGAGTTCTCTATGAATGAATCGAATTGTTTGCCTCGAGGTATGGGCCCTGTTAGTTGGTTGTGCGAAAGGTTGAGGACTTGTAGAAACATCAAAATTGTCAATNAATCGAATTGTTTGCCTCGAGGTATGGGCCCTGTTAGTTGGTTGTGCGAAAGGTTTAGGACTTGTAGAAACATCAAACTTGTCAACTGCTGAGGAATCTGTCCATCCAACTTATTTGAAGAGAGATCTAACCATTCAAGTGTTTTCATATCCCCAAGTTGTGTCGGAATATGACCTGTGAGCTTGTTATGAGATAAGTTGAGGCCATGAACTGAATTTAGCCTTCCAATCAACTGCGGAATCTCCCCTTCAAAGTTGTTCTTCGATAAGTCGATAAGCCTAAGCATGGTTTGAATTTTCAACATTTCAGTTGTTGATCCTTTCATTGTTACAGTAGAGGAATCATAATATAAAAAAAGAGGACCAAGAGATAAATTCCATGTCGTTATCATCATGTATTGTCCGATGAACGTGTTGTCCTTGATGTCCATCATGGCTTTGAAGTTTCTGAAATATTTTGTTGGCAAATGCCCAATGAAATTATTGCAAGAAATATCAAAGACTCGCAAATTGCGGAAGGGAAATGGAATCATGAAATCAGTTATGGATCCATGAAATTGATTTGATCGTAAGATAAGAACACGCATGTATGGAAGCTTTTCTAACTGGTGAGGAAATGTATCGTTTATCATGTTGTTTCCGAGATCCAGAAGTTGCAACGCTCTACACTTGACCAAAGATTTTGGTACTGGCCCTTGCAAGGAATTACTATTTAAATTTATGCTTTTCAAGCTACAGTCCTTTGCAAATGTGTTAGGAATGTCACCATAAATGTTGTTCTGATGGAGATCCAACACCCGGAGATTCATGCTTAACTTGCTCAAACATTGTGTAATACCACCACTTAGGTTGTTACGAGCCAAGTTGAGAACTTCAAGAGATTGTGCATAGCAAGAGATTGAGCCACTCAAGTTATTTGATGAGAGATCGAGAAAAGTGAGGTTCTTAAGTTGGAAGATTGAACTGGGAATATTACCATGCAACTTGTTATAACTCAAATCCATCAACTCCAATGAATTGGCCTCCTGGAATTCGTAAATGGGGCCAGTGAGTTCGTTCTGATTGAGGTCCAAATAAAGTAATGCAGGTAATTTAAACACCCAAGATGGAATTGTTCCACTGATCAAGTTGGCACGTTGGCTGAGAAAAGCCAAATTTGAAAACCCATTTAGTTGTGTAGGCATCCCAAATGCAAAGAAGGAAGCCGCTTCTTTGCATGGTGATAGGCTGCTCATAGGTTTTTTATTCTCTTTTCTTTTTCTTTTTCTTTTTCCCCTTTCCCTTCTTTTTCTTTTGTTGTTATTAAAATGTGGAGATGTATGGCGTTGATTGTTGTACTAGTTGCCTGAATTTTGGCATTTTTTGTTGCAGATTTTAGTATGTCCAACGTTCAGAGAGATCATGCTGCAACTATCGAACATTTGGTGCCTAGTCNTGGTTGCCTGAATTTTGGCATTTTTTGTTGCAGATTTTAGTATGTCCAACGTTCAGAGAGATCATGCTGCAACTATCGAACATTTGGTGCCTAGTCTTGCAGCTTTGAGGCATAAACTTTGCAATGACTTGAGTGATGAACAATTTTGGATGGTCTACTTTATTTTGTTGCTTCCTAGGTTGAATGAGAATGATTCTAAGCTCCTAGCAACTCCAGAGGCAAGACTCTGTTTCATAGATCTCTTTATCACTCTTTTTTTGTGATCTGCATGCATTGTGAAACCTAAATGCAACCCGCTGTGGCTATTTACTGATTTTAGAATGTACAACTTGTTGGATTGCAAACATTTATGAACTACACTTGCCTGGCACTGCAATGGATAATTTATAGTTTCACAATATAGATGTGGTACAATGATAGCTTCAAGCAATAACACCTATATTGACCCACACCTGATTTTTGTTGTTGATACAAAGGTCAAAAACCACTTCTACCTGATTTTTGGGGATGCTGTCTAATTCAGGACATGACAAAAATGGAGATAAAAGTTTCTGACAAAACAAATTTCCATTATGCAGACCTATATAAATTTGTTAATTGGGTAGGGTGAACAACTGAAACCTTTATTCTGAAAATTACATGCATTGAGATGCAAGGAATCAAAAGAAACAGAAGTGCCATAGTTGAGAGCAAGGTTATCTGGATCGTGTGTTGCTTGGGTACGTGCTATGGATACGGGTACGCAATACGACACTTTCTTAGATATGTGGTACGATGGGAGTAGACTTAGTTGGTAAGTTATTTTGGGTCGCAAATCATTTTAGGACTCTTATCTAGATTGTTTTCACTACTATACAACATTATATGTTACAGAACATCAGTTAAACACTAAGTCAGTTACCATTTATCTGATATTTGTGCTTGATTTTCTAGTATCTAAAATAATATTAAATTATAAATTATAAATCTATATACATGTAGTCAATTAATATGTATTTTATATTTGTGCTATATATTCGAATGCGAATTGATTTAGGGTTAGTATTACAATTTGGAATCGTACATTTTAGTGATCTGGATTACGAACTCACCCCGTTTGGGATCGATGTACCTAGATTGTGGGTCGTCACAGATTTAGTGAATTGTGGTAACCATGGTTGAGAGGAATTGATGCAGGCTTCTAAAGGTTGTCTTAGCACTTAGTTTTCTTGTGCCATGTTAATAAGCTTGTATGATGTGATTTGACGTTAGATTTAAACTGGTGCTTCTATCAATCTTCCCTTGGAAGAATTATAGAAGATAAGAATTGGGAACAATTGACTAAATTTTGTGAGTGTATACACTGTAAGATTTGTTTTAGATGATTATGCTGTTACATTTACTTTTCATCCCAGCAATTGTTGCATTAGCTTGCTTTTGGAACTCTATTTTCTACTTATTGGTGTTAAACCGCTAATCTTTTTGGCTTCAAATTCGTATCACATATTTCCATGCATGGTCCGTAAAAGACTTCAATGTAAAACCCTCTCAGATAAACTTTGTAGATCTCAGATGGCACATTTAATTTATGTCAGAAAAATTTGTCACTCTTCTAGGTAGTTGAAGTCAATAAATTAGGGGATATTGGTGTGTCTATTCTTTGCTTGAGTTAGGTAAATTATATTAACATCACACCTCACAGGAAAATTCATAGGGGGTTACATGCATATCAGTAATTTTGTGTGCGCATTTTTTAGCACATTTCAATCTTTAGTTTACAACCTGTATGATGGCCGCTTGCTTGTCATCCGGAATGCTTACAAGTGATGAAAAAAAGTCATTTGCACGAACCCCTAAGAAGTTGTTTTCTTCTGCTAGATGAAATGGTGTGCCAATTATACCAATAAAAGGGTGAAATTATGCGTAATGTAGTCATGGATGAAAA